GCTGTCCACTAAGCTCCGCTCCGGCATCTGTGGGCGGTGGGCTACCTGCAAGGCTACGATGGCGCCCAAGAAAGGGAGGGGAGATCAGCTATTCGTTCCAGTCAGTAAAGACAAGTACAGGGAGGCGGAGCTGAAGTTTTGTGGCTTTAAGTGGGTTACGAAGGGGCAGACGATATCGAATTCGAATGGCAATTTCCTCATGGAGTGCAAGCTGTGTGGTCAGGGTTTTTAGGGGAGCCAGACGAAAGCCGCACAACACTTCACGATCAAGAACAATTGCCCCAAAATCTCCGTGGAGCAGATGGCGGAGATATGGAACAAGACAAAGTACGGGTTCGATCCAAGCCATGCACGAAAGATCATGGACTTTCTGAAGTCTCGTGGGTTGCGAGACAATAGATGTGGATCGGGGAGGGAGTCGGCGGGGAATGAGGAGTTTGAGGACAGCGAGGAGGAGAGGAGGGCGGTCGAGGGTGGAGATGATGATGGTGAGAGTGATGCAGAGGACATGGAGGTGCGGCGAGAGGTGGAGCGCGCCAGGGGAAAGTTGAGGAAGGAGAAGGCCGTTGACGAGGACAGCACCCCTGACGAGGACGCCGATGACGACGATGACGATGAGGGAGCAGACCTCGGGGCCTCTGTGGATGGGGGTTTAATGGGCGATGGTCGTCGTGGCCAAGAGGGGGCAGCTAGGGCGATGAAGGAGGCTGCGGGATTGAAGAAGAGAAAGAGGAAGGCGAAGATGACTACCACTAAGGCGAGATCAGCACCTTCTGAGCCCAAAAAGAGCAGAGTTCTTCGACTGACGTCCATGCTGGAGACCTTTCGATCCAGTGTGGCAACGAGAATTCTCGGACTCCGTCCTGCAGTGGTGGTACGTGAGCGGCATCCTATTCGAGGTGGCGAGGAGGCTAGAGTATCATAGGATGAGGAAGAAGTTGCTCGAGTGTTCGCCGTATGCACATCCAGCATTACCCACGCACCGTGTAATTTCGTGCGAAGGCATCGCTCAGCAGCAGCGAGTTGTGGCGGACATGGTGGCGGCCATCCGCAGGGACATTGAGGCGACGGGAGCGAGGATGGTCGCAAGTCCATCACGAGCGACCAGATAGTCAACTTCCTTGCTGCTGGTCCCATGGGCGCGTACCTTTTCAGGACTGTGCAGCGGGATGGTGCTGTTCAGGAGACAGCAGAGGCCGTAGTGGAGCGATGGAAGGACGTGTTCGACAAGTTTGGTGTCGACAAGGTGAACGCCATTTGTACTGATTCCGCGTCTGCGTATGTTGCTGCGTCCAAGCTCCTCGCCCAGGAGGAAGTCAAGTACAGCCGCATCACTTGGCTTTCGTGTGCAGTCCATGAATGCAACTTGTTGTTGTCAGACATCGCGAAGGATGGGCGCGACGGGAGCCTCGGGAAGAGGGAGGACACCATCATCAGGGCTCGAGCTGTCGTGCGTTTCATCAGAGAGCACGGGGCATCTCTGAGCCCACCCCTCTTCCGCCTCCGCGGCGGCTGGTGGTTCGAGCTCTGCGCCACCCTCGTCTCAGCGGCGAGGCAGGGAGCTTGTGTACCCTGTGCAGACGAGGTTTGCCACCCACTACTTGATGCTGGAGAGGCTGCTGGATCGTCGCAGAGTGTTGGAGGCGTTGATGATGAGCGACGATTGGCTGCAGACTGCATGAAGGAGGTCCATTTTTCTGCAGGCCAGATGGGTGCGTCATCAGGTGCGGTACGCGCCATTTTGGGAGCACGTGGAGGACATCGTGGCGCTCATGATGCTTGTGATGCAGTTGCTACGGCGTCTGGACAGGGGGGGTCGCGTGATGACTCGCATGTGGTCTTGGGGTTTTATCATGGTCGACAGGGTGGCGAGAGCAAGCCTTAACAGGACGTCGAAGGACGAGCTCCGCATCGTTGTTCAGGCTTGTCTGGCACGGGTCGCTCATTTGTTGGAGCCCTCACATTGCATGGCCCACCTCCTCAATCCGCGGCAGAGGAGCATTACTTTTTTTGGAGCGGCGAGGCGTACCCACCACGAGCGGATACTAGCAGACGAGTCGTTGCGATACCTTCGCCAGCAGACTGGTGGTGACGAGGATTTGTATCAGACGTTGCGCACGCAGCTGGCGGAGTTTCATTCTCGGGAGGGCGATTGGACGTATGGAGGGGCCGAGGGAGACAGGGATGCGACCGCCTGCAAAGGGGAGAAGGAGACGTCACAGGTGGGGCAGTAGTGGGTTTAGCACGGGGGCGGGGTCCCTCTCCTTCAGAGCATCGCCATTCGCTTGTCGCACACATGGACGTGCGCCTCTCCGACGGAGAGGAATTGGGCCGTCCATGAGCGTGTTCAGGTGAAGAGGCGCAATCAGCTTGGTTTCATCAAGCTGACTCATTTGGTGGAGATATCCACCAACTTGGGATTGAGTCGTTGTCATGGGAGGGGTTCTGGGTACGTTCTTCCATGGGAGGACGCTGAGGAGGAGACAGAGGACGCTATTCCTCCGCCTCCTGATGAGGGTGTTCGGTCGGCTGACCGAGTCACCAAGGCACAGCGCGACCGGCAGGTCCAGCGCGGGCGGAAGGATCGCCTTTCAAAGGCACCTCCCAACTTTGCGACGTATTTCGGTCGTCGCGCCACGGTGCTCATGGCGCATGAGTTGGAGTCGGTGTACGATCCGGAGCCTGATCCCATGGCTCAGGACGCGATGGAGGCCGAGCCGTGGTCCGATCCGGACGACCTGCCCGTGGAGTCAGAGCCAGTAGGTTCTGATGACGATGACGACGACACTCCTCTCTTCCAGATTCCGCGTCCTCGCACACGTACGTCCACGGCGGCCACTGCACCGTGTCCCGCAGCACGCCCTCCTTCGAGTGCTCCCGACGTCTCACAGCCAGGCCCGGCGGACCGTGTCGAGAGCAGTACGCCACACCCTTCGACCGATCGTCGCGGACAGGGAGGCAGTGGCGAGCGTGTCGACGAGGGAGACGACGACGATGGCGACGATAGGGAGGGGTATGAGGGCAGCAATGAGGATGAGGATGATCCCTGTTATTCCCCGACTTGCGGACATGGTGTTGACGACGACGACGAGGGCGGCGACGGTGGACGGGCTGTGGGTGGTTTGCGGAAGTCCGAGAGACAGTGTGGCGACCGATGCAGTGGTGCAGGCAGGGGAGGCAGCGGGTCGGGTGTTGGGGGTGCAGGGCGCACAGGTGGTGCAGGGCATGCTGGCACAAGAAAAGTAAGGCGAGAGTCTGCATCGTCCACTCGCACTGTGCATTGGGTTGATGAGGAGAGGTCCGCTGAGGCATCTGTGGTTGCTCCCTCCCCTATAGAGGTTGCTCCCTCCCCTGCAGAGCTCGCTGCGGCATTTGGGGAGGTTGCTCCCTCCCCTTTAGAGTTCGCTGCGGCGTCTGTGGAGGGTCCAGGCGGGTTTGCGGGTGGTAGTGGCAATGCTGGAGAGGTTGGGAGGCCATCTGCACAGGTGGGTATCAGTTTCAGCGACAAAATTTTTGATGTTTCGTTAGGGCATCCTCCGACACCGGCAGGGGAGCGTGTCGGTGTCGATGTGGACGCAGCGGCCATGCCCGTCAGTCAGATACTTCGTGACATACCTTCATCCAGCACGGGCGACATCAGTAGTAGCATGTTGCAGGAGGCAGCAGAGGGGGCACTGGGTCGGTCGGGGCAGCACGAGCGTGTAGCTGGGGATGATGGGGAGTATCGACCTGTGCAGGCGCGGGCGACAGAGTCAGAGCAGGACAGGATCGACCGCGAGGAGAGGAGGAGGGCGCAGGGGTTGGCTAGCCGCTACGAGATGACGCGGAGTGTTGCATCGAGGGCACGTGTAGCGCGGATGCTCGAGACGGGCGTTGAGGCAGGTGATGCAGAGGGCGAGTGCGACACTGCGGGCATAGGGGATGCGGGCGAGAGACCTGCATCGCCAGTTCAGGGTGTTTGCGTTTTGCCTCTCGGTGGGGCCATGCCGGCGGAGGAGTTAGAGCGGCAGGCACGGGAGGACCCATTGCAGGCAGATCGCCGGGGACGGATGACCGAGGCGTCGAGGAGACTGAGGGCAGAGGCCCCGGCTTACGTGCCTTGCAGCCTGTCAGTGCCATCGTCCACCACAGGTGTCAGCACACCCGCATATGTGGAGGGCACAATCGCGGCAGAGGCAGTACGGGGCCCCTCGCCAACACCTGCCGGGGAGTCTCCTTCTCCTCAGTCACGGAAGAAGAAGATGAGAGCAGGGAAAAATCTTAGTACCGTGAGGAGAGTGACGCCGACAATGCGGGCGAGTCATCCTGGGTTGGGCGGTTTACATCCGCGGACACGGGCGATTTTGAGCAGGGACGTTGTCGCAGACGCAGCAGGATGGCAGGAGAGGGTCTCCGACCAAGCGACGGATCAGCCCATGAGCGCACCTGCTGAGGCGATGTTGCCACACACTGCGGGGCGTACAGCGGGCACCGGCGACCACGCCGAGCACAGTGCGCCCCCCGGGAGGAGCATGGCTTCACGTTATTGCGGAAGGGTGTGAGGGCATCGACAGCGCAACGACCGTCACAGGCGCCAGTCGTTTGGGAGTCTGGCACAGACGATTTGGAGATGCCTTATGGCCATCGGAGGAGGGTTTCCGTGTACGATCTTCTTCGAGCACAGGGAGGGGTTGAGGCGGCGCCACAGGGGGAGATTCATGCTCCGGATACTACGCACGCGCCGGCAGGCGACACAGGTCGTGGGGATGGTGTGACAGGTGTGGTGCCACAGAGGAGGAGGAAGGACATTGTGGACGACGATGATGCATAGTTCCACCATTACTCTTCTTTCATCCTCTAATTCGTAGTTGTGTATAGTATATTTAGTGCTAGAGACGAGACCTTGTGTTAGTAGGAGTAGTTTGTAGTGCTTGAGACGAGGCCTTGTGTTCGTAGGAGTGGTTTGTGCAGGTCGTCATGACTGCATTTGTATTTGTATAGGTAGTTAGACTATTGTATACTATTTCCATGCACGGGTGCAGTTTGTTTTGTTTCTTCTTTTATTTTATCATCGATGTTGTAGAGGATTGCACTTTTTTTAGTATTTCTTTATTCACGGGCTCAGCAGGTGCAGTGCTCACAGTTTCATTTTTTGTTTCTCCTGTTATTTTTGTATCGATGTTTTTGACGATTCGACAGTTCTTTCGCACACCATTTGACTAAGTCTAGCGTGCATGTGTTTTTTATTGTTGTGTGTGTAACGCAGCTGTTTCGCCGTGTTCTTTCGTTTGCCTGTAATATTACACTTTCAAAACTTGTGCAATGATTGTTTCTTGCAGACTTAGAGACGATGGAGAATGACTCAATGGTTTTGAAAAATTGTGTTTATACTTTCAGTCTTATACTCGTTTCGTCGTGTGCGTAGTTCACCTTTGTTGCATTTGTCAGCCACCCCGACAAAACCCTCCCCAACCCCCAAACAGT